GGCAAGTGCTTTGCCCTGTCACATGTAAACTGCCTGCATCCCAGCCCTTATTTTGGCACTATTTCACTTGACTATAAGCGGAAGTATCCCAGAGCATAGAGCATAGCTGTTAACTTTTCTCTTTTCTTGTGAGGAATCCTATTCGGAATAAGGGAATTTCCCTTAGAAAAAGGGAAACATTGACAGCTATGGCATAGAGATTTATTGCTTGGAGAGTGGAATGGAGCCCCAGTCAGAAGACGACTGCCAGCATGACCCAATGGTAAGGGATGATGGGAGCTATAGATGGTTTTTGGAGAAATAATTTGTTTCGCACAGAAATCTTAAAAAATAAGTCATGTGAATCCCTGCAGCTTTGAGCAAGGTGCTTTTTCTGTGCTTTGAAACAGGGACAGGGAACCTCCAGGTCTTACTGCACTTCTCTTTCCATTCAGCCCCAGCCATCATGGCCCATGGCCAGGGGGATGATGGGAGTTGTAGTCCTGCAACATCTGGAAATCACCAGGTTTCTTCCTCTTGAACTAAAAGGTACGGATTCACATTAAATTATAAATTTATATTATTATGAAATTATAAAAGATTTGATAAAGGTTTTTGCATATACTGGGAGCCCAAATGATATTAATTTTTTTTTAAAAAAAAGATTCACCAACACCAACGGAGCCGACATTAAAAGAAAATCAAACAGCTCCCCCTTTTCTTTCATGTGACTGCATTATTACCATTGCTTGCCAGAAAAAATGCAGATCAAAGAATCCCAGCTAATTTTCCATTCAGATTCACAGCCGGAATTATAATTCACTCATTGACATTCAATGTGGGTGCCATATGGACTCTCAAGTCTTCCAGCAAGTACAGCTTGGTTCAGAAGTAGCTAATGGCATCTTTAAAACGATTACCATAATCAATACCAGTCGGGTCTGCTCAGCACCACTCCCATCCTTACGTGATTCTGATTGCCACCATCTGCAAATCAAAACCTAATTAGGAATACCAATTAAAATGCTGTTTCACAAACACAGAGGGTAGGTGGCAGGTTAAGAAGGGCTCCAGCTCTTATGGGAAGAGTCATGTAGAAATCTGACTGAATATTATACTGGAAGAGGTGGCTGTTTTTCATTCTGCAGACATGTTCATTTGATGGCTTCCTATCTGGCCAGCACAATCCACTAGATAGGTGGAATTTGATGTGGGGAACTAGGGTGTGAGTCCTACCTTGGACACCAGTTTGAATTATAATGTGGGCAGTGCTGAGGATATGGGGTCTGCTGAAGGAGAAATGCATTTGTTGAGTGCTTGCATCTCTGTTGGATCTGTAATTCATTTCCCATCAGTGTGTGGTCCTCCAAGTCCTTCTACCTGGCCCTTGGGAGTCTCCCCAAGCCACACCCCTTTATGGTCACACCCTCGCTCTCCAGGCCACACCCACACTTGCCTTACTTTAAACCCTTCTTGATTATTTTTTGCTTGGCTGGGATGTGTCCATGAATAGTGATAATGACGCTTGGTTGGCCAGATGGTAGAGAGGGCGAGCATTTGTACAGAAAGTAGTCTACTGCACAAAGGGAGTTGTTAGGAAACCCCTATTCCCCTTACAGAGCTGCAATTCCCAGAGTGGTTTAAATCAAATCCTTTTCACAGGGAACTCTGAGACTTGTAGCTCTGTGAGGGGAATAATGGGCCACTTGTCAACTCTCTATACCCTTAACAAACTGCACCTCCCATAATCCTTTGGGGGAAGCCATGGCTGTTTAACATGGTATCGTAGTGCTTTCAATGTACGGTGTGAATATGGCCCTAGACTCTAGTTACTAGATGATTACAAATGTCTTGTGTAGATTTTCGTTTGCGATTGGCTACAACTGGGTGTCACTTTGAGTCAAGATGGCGGACCAAACCTTTCAAAACTGCACTGATTTTAAAATTGTATTGATTTTTTTGGTTTGTTAGAATTCCCAGTCAATGATGGGTATGAAGTTACCAGTCAATAATAAACAGGAAGCATGTTGAGAAAATTATTTTCATCCCAGTTCACCTTTCTAGCTTTGATTGAACGAGACACTTTTCAAAATGGTTTTCTTCTCTGTCTAAAGTTGTGGGCTACTTCCCATCTATTTGAGCAGGCAGGGAACAAGGTATTCTTGAGAGAAGGCACTCCTTCCTTCCTTCCTCTTTCCCCTTGCATGTTCTCAGGGCTTTTAAACAAATAAATGCCACCATGTTGTGCACAAGAACAGTGAAATCCAAAGGTGCAAGGAATAAGGTTACATTTTCAGCAGGCAGAACATGATGTACCTAGTAAGGAAAACAAACCCTTATCTTTGAAAAGCAGCCGAGTGTACCCAAAGCAAATATTTTGGAGGTTTGTCGGCATTGTTGAAATATACTAGCAAAGAGTTCCGGGCTATCCCCCCCCCCCCCCAGATGTAGATGGAGAGAATAACATCTTATTTGATGACAAACCTCCAGTTGCCTCCTTTTCTCTCCCAGAGTTCCCCACCCACATAGTGGAGACTGGTCTGTTATGGCAGATGGAGGACAGCCCCGCTAATCTCAGTCTGCTGTCAGTCAGCCCTCACCCGCCTGCCTTCTTACTTCCAGCTAGCTGAGAGAGTGGTGCTGGCTGTCAGCTTCTTCTGCCTACAATAATAGAATACATTTAAGGTCACATACACACATTTAAAGCACTATGATACCACTTTAAACAGTCATGGCTTCTCCCCAAAGAATCATGGGAGCTGTAGTTTGTTCAGGATGCTGAGAATTGTTGTTGTTATTTAGTCGTTTAGTCGTGTCCGACTCTTCGTGACCCCATGGACCAGAGCATGCCAGGCACTCCTGTCTTCCACTGCCTCCCGCAGTTTGGTCAGACTCATGTTTGTGGCTTAGACAACACTGTCCAACCATCTCGTCCTCTGTCGTCCCCTTCTCCTTGTGCCCTCCATCTTTCCCAACATCAGGGTCTTTTCCAGGGATTCTTCTCTTCTCATGAGGTGGCCAAAGTATTGGAGTCTCAGCTTCAGGATCTGTCCTTCCAGTGAGCACTCAGGGCTGATTTCCTTCAGAATGGATAGGTTTGATCTTCTTGCAGTCCATGGGACTCTCAAGAGTCTCCTCCAGCACCATAATTCAAAAGCATCAATTCTTCGGCGATCCCTATTCCCCTCACAGGGCTACAGTTCTCAGAGTGGTTCAATGGTCAATTCCTCTTCACAGGGAACTCTATCAGTTCTAGCTCTCTGTGGGGAACAGGGGCCTCCAGTACCCTGAACAACTCCCAGAATTCCTTGTGGGGGGGGGACCATAACTGTTTAAAATGGCACCACAGTGCTTTAAAGGTATGATGTGAATGTGGTCTTAGGTGGAATCTACACACATATAAAAACCGTTCTGACAATGCTTTTTTAAAAAAGGTTTTAAAAAATACATTGAGTTTCCCATAAGGCTCACCATCGCCATCTAGTGTCCCATTGTACTTTGTACTTAAAACACACTTAAAACGTTTTATTGGCCGCTGTATAGCTGAGTCTCAATATTGCCCTTGTAGAACTCAGCAGAAGGGAGGATGGGGATGAACCTAGGATTAATTGGCTCTGCCTCTCATTTCCTTTATCTCCACATACTCTGAATTTGGCCCAACCAGTCTGAATAGGCACCAGCTACCATTGCCACCAACGATGTAAGGGGCATCATATTTTTTCACAGGGAAGGCCCTTTTTCAAACTCATTCTGTTTCCACTGTTCAGGATCATTAAATGAAACCGAGAGACTTTGATATTGTTTTCTTTTTTAATGTATGTGTTTCTGCATTCCATCATCATTCCTATATCCTGGCAGAGAGATCAAAGAGATCTAGCTAACATCCAGCTTTCTAACTGAGCCAGGAAAAGCCTCAAAAGCAAGCAACATCTGAAGATTTTACATTTTAGATTTACAAAGTGGCTGTTATTTGTGTAAGGGAAAACAGAGAAGTTACTCGCTTGATCCTATTATGAACATTTGTATTAAAATGTTTAAGTGCATCTTTTGAAAATGAAGCCTTTGGTAGAGATGGTAGATTTATTTGTCCAACTTCTTCATAAGGCATTGAGAGGTTTGGAGGATTTCTCATCATTGGGGAGAAATCTGGAACAGATAAACATGTATATTGCATTAACATCTCATTGGGGACAAACTAAATGTGAGATTGGGAGAACTGCTTGCTTGCTCCTTTCATTATTTTAAATTATTTTTCATGACAGTTGCAGCATGATGAGAATCTGATTAAGACATGTGTGACAACTTGAATAAAATATTGGGGGGAGCAGGTAAGCCCCACCCCACATAACTGATCACGTGATGCGGTGCACACACACCATTTGAATGGCAATGCCCATCAACTTTGGGGTGGGGCCTGGCCTCCTGAAATATTTTATTGGGTGAGGGGACAAAGACCCCTCAACCCCTAGGAGTTGGCTTTTGTGGTCCAGGACCATAGAGCCAGCGAAAGGACTCAACCTTTGGTCTTGCATGGTTTTCCCAGTGAAAATTACCCAGTGAAAATTAGGGCAAGCTGCTGCTTAGAAAAACATACAGTGATGGTGCTTGCATATTTTGATTGGCTGGGCAAATTGCACTTGGGGGAAGATATTTACCAGGAAACTGGCAACATGGAACAAGTCCCCCCCCCCATACCACTAATATTCAGGCTTTTCTGTGTCAGCTGTTAAACTTGTATAAAAAGGGGGGAGATTTGATCGTGGATCTCTCAGTGCCTTGCCTAGACGCACCCTCAAAATACATCTGGAAACAATGAACACAGAACCTTTCTGATATGAGGTATGGTACAAAATGGTTTCCTTTGTTAAAGATGCTTCACAAAATGAAACAACTAACTGAGTGAAGTACACTTATTCCTTTTCAAATCAAAGCCAGCAACATCTGGAGTCATGCTCATTTTGTTTCAGTCTTAACTTTCTGCCAGTTCTTTCCCTTTTCCGAAGGCCACGTTTAACATGATAGGGCAAAGGCTGTTGCTCAGTGGTAGAACATCTGCTTTACATGCAGAAGGTCTCAAGTTCAATCCTGGGCATTTCCCAGGTAGGTCTGGGAGAAATTCCTGCCTGAAACTGTTGCTAGCTGCTTCCAATCAGTGTAGACAATACTGAGATAGTTGAAAAGGATGTTTAAAATAACATTTGTAAAAAAAAGTCCCAGAAGCTTTTCTTTTGGGAATTATAAGGACAGAACTACCTAAACTGTATAGAAACTTATTCATGTATGCGACTAAAGTGGCAAGAATGTTACTCACCCAAAAACGGAAAGAAGCAAAAGTCCCAGCAAAGGAAGAATGGATACAAAAACTTATGGAATATGCAGAAATGGTGAGACTTACCGGAAGGATAAGAAATCAAGATAACAAACTTTTTAATAAAAGAATGGAAATGGTTTATTGAATATTTACAGATAAATTGTAAATAGATAAGAACATTGGAAGGGTTATTGTAATAACCTGCAGTTTTATAAGAGTATATATTTAAAGTAGATGAATAAATGAGCAAATTAAGTTAATTTGGGCATGCACAAGATATTAAAAAGAAATTTAAGGAACCGCATAAAAGGGGGGAAGGAAGTCAAGTTTTGAAATGTTGAAATGATTGTCAAATTAGTGAAATGTATAAGCATGAGAAGCATAAATAAAAACTTAAAAGAAGAAGACAATACTGAGATAGATGCTTCCTATATTCCTGCTATCTTGTGAATGAGTCTAATTGTCTGAGCTTTGCTTAGTGTAACCGTCCTTCTGATCCCAACGTTACAGTCGTCTGCCCCAAATCCCAAGGTCTTGTGCCATAAATCTCATGCTAGCTAATTAAGGAGAAGAGGTGTCATTAGGGTGACCATATATGAAGGGGGACATAGGAGCCTGAGAGGCTGTTGTGTATTGAATTGGACCATTGGTCCACCTAGCAAAGTATTGTCTACCCTGACTGGCAACAGATCTGCAGGATTTTAGATGAGCTCCTTACCTGGGGACTCCAGGGATTGGTTGTGGGACCTTCCACATGCAGAAGAGATGCTCTACCAAGGAGCCCTGGTCTTTCCCCAAGATTCCTGCACCTATAATAGTTGTAAAAGGTAAAGGTAAAGGGACCCCTGACCATTATGTCCAGTTGTGACTGACTCTGGGGCTGCGGCGCTTCCGGGTCATGTGGCCAGCATGACTAAGCCGCTTCTGGCGAACCAGAGCAGCGCACGGAAATGCCGTTTGCCTTCCCACCGGAGTGGTACCTATTTATCTACTTGGACTTTGACATGCTTTTGAACTGCTAGGTTGGCAGGAACAATAATAATAACAATAATAACAACAATAATAATAGTTGTACAGAAAAGGAAATTTCAGCACCTGCAGCTTGCATGGCACCCCTGACTAACACACGGGACCAGAGAGACAGGAAAGCCGGAACAGCGCAAAAAGTCAGCTACCTTGTCATCATCAAGGGAAGCTACACAAAATATTTACAAGGAGCCTTGTCTATATTTCTGTTTCACATCTTTAACTCCCTTTGATGTCAGCATCTTCTACCTGTTAAGATGCCACTGTGTTACAGCAGACATTCGTCTTGTATTTTCATGCTTCCTCGAATATGCTCAAAGAATCTGTAATGCCTGTGTTTTGTAAATTGGAAGATAATGTGCCGGGAGGAATCTATTCCAGCAAAGCCGCTCATCTGGAAGAATTTTTTTTTCTTTTTTCTTCTTTTAATGGTTTGCAAAGTCCGCTTTGTGTTTGCTTCCTGTGGATATAAAACCATGGCAGGTCAGCAGGAGTTGTTTCTGGAAGTAGCAATTCCATATCCTTGCTGCTGTACAAGAAAACATTTACATGTGGCTGCATTCTAGAATTTTAACTACCTTTTTTTTGGCTGTCATGACAGAAAGGGAAGACATCACAAAAATATGGCCTTCTCGGAGAGTTCAACCACTTTGGTGTAGTGGTCAGAGTGGTGTGTTAGGACTTGGGAGACCAGCGTTCAATTCCCTGCTCAGATATGAGATTTGCTGAGTGACCTTAGGCCAGTCACCTTCAAAGGTAGCTCCAATGTAGAGCGCATTGCAGTAGTCCAAGAGGGAGATAACCAGAGCATGCACCACTCTGGGAAGATAGTCCATGGGCAGATAGGGTCTCACCCTGCATACCAGATGGAGCTGGTAGACAGATGCCCAGGATATAGAATTTACCTGCACCTCCATGGACAGCTGTGAGTCCAAAATGACTCCCAGGCTGCGCACCTGGTCCTTCAGAGGCACAGTTACCCCATTCAGGACCAGGGAGTCCTCCACCCCATCTACCCCCTGTTCCCCCAAAACCAGTAATTCTGTCTTGTCAGGATTCAACCTCAATCTGTAGCTGCCATCCATCCTTCAGCCACATTATGACCCAATAGGTGCTCATCCTCCTAAGTTTTAATTAAGGGCTGAAAAAGCAATGGCAGGGATGATCAGGTATCTGACTAGTGGGCCATCTACAGCTTGGTGGCTCCATTTGACTGTCCTACTCTGCCAGAATGAGTAGACATGGTGCAGGAGCAATGGGCTGAGCAGGATTCCTCTGCAGATCCCATGGAGTGAAAGTGAGGTTGTGAAGCTACAGGGCTCTGAGCAACGTGTCAGCGAGTGAAAAATTAAATTTGGGGGAAGCACAATTATTGTGGCTTCATAATTTAAAGGTCCAAGATTTAAATGTTCACGAATTCTCCAAAGGAACCTTAACCCATTATTTATTCATAGCATCCCAACAACCTATAAACTCACCAACACATAAGTCTCCGGTTTTATATGGCAATTCAATTGAATATTTGCAGGAAGCCCATGCATAGTTAATAAGGGTGCCGAGTGTTTATGAGTTGGGTGCTCTGCATTTTATTGTTACCCTGATTCTGGACTAATGCATGTCCTTTGTGTGAGGATTTCCTTTAATGTTGGTAAAAGCCTTTTTATGAGATCTTGGTGTGAGATAAAACTTCTGGTGCATAAACAATCTACGGCGCTTTGTATTAAATTGCAGGCTCGTGGAAAGAAAGTATAAATGAGTGGCTGGGGAAGTCCAGCCAGATGGGCGGGGTATAAATAAATTTATTATTATTATTCTTATTATCCAGCTGTCCAAAGGTCTTCTGGTTTCTGAAATGATTCCACCTTTTCTCTCCTACTGCCTCTTATGCCTGGACCTGTCTACTGGAATGGCTTAATGAGACCGACTCCCTTACTTCCTGCAAGATCTCTCTTCAAAACTCACCTGCTCCGTAAAGTGTTTGAAATAGCCCCATAGTCCTAGTCAGTGCTATTTTTCTAGAAAAAGAGGTGCCGGAACCCATCACAAACGTCTCCCTTGTTCTCTTATAACAGCAATGGCACTCATCTGAGAGGTGCAAGAACGGAGTTTCAGTGAGTTTTGGCTGAAAAACAGCCCTGGGCCTAGTACTGCAGAGGTGGTGAAACTTTAGCCTTCTTTCTGGATGCCATCATCCCTGATCAGGCACGGCAATCTAATAGGAAGGAGGAGAGTCTGTGGTGGAGGTCCACCAGAGCCAGAAATGGCTTTCAAGGTGAGGGAGAGTTTTCCTGGCAGAGTGAGGTGAGGCAGCAGAGGGGTCATGGTGGTACAAATGCACCGGCGGAGCCAAGTTGCTGCTCCTGCTGCTGCGTTTGCACTGCACTAACCTCCCAATCATCTTGCCCCTCTCAGTGATTTCGGTGAACAAAGAACTGGCCACATTTCGATCTACAGGATCCACAGTATGAAAGCCCACTAGGGGTTGCTTAAATAGTACATCATTGCCACGGAGGCTGAAGGCAAAGGCAATCCTTAGGTTGTATGGGATGTATACTTTCATTTTTCTTCATTTCATAATTTCCAGTGAAATTGCCATAGTTTATTGTGCCAAGAGACCAACCGTAAGGCAAAGGGCCACAGCTCAGTGTTAGAGCATCTTCTTTGCATGCCAGAATGTCCCAGGCATCTCCCTGTGGAAATCTTGGAGAGCTTCTGCCAGTCAGTGTTGACCTTACTGAGCTAGATGAACCCATGATTTAACGCAGTATAAAGGCAGATTCATATGTTTCTGAGCTGCTCTTGCCATTTTCCCAGAATGCTCAGTGCAGCACTTGGAATTCCTTCTGGTCTTTCTGCAGCTGCCAATGATCCTTTTCCAGAGCCCTGTTCCTTTGTCTTAAATCCTTGTGCCTGCCAAGATATGATCACAATAAAATACCTGAAGAGCCTTGTAAAAACAGATCCATATCTTTTCTTGTGCACCGCTGCACTTTCTTTCGGGAGAAACCTGTCAGAGGCAAAAGGAATTGATTTTTGATTCATAGATATGGAAGCTTTACAAAAATGTGTCTGCTTGCGTTCAAGCGGACCTAAGCCTTGAAAATGATCCACGCCTATTTTTGTGAAGGAAGGAAGGAAGGAAGGAAGGAAGGAAGGAAGAAGGAAGGACTGCTTTCATAGCCATCCTCTTTGAGAAAGGCTGGCTTTGCTCGAGCACAAATTGCGACAGGGTCTAAGGATGGAGAGCAGGACTTGAGGGGGGGGAGACATTTAGCCCCTCTGCCTCAGCAGAATGAGGAGGGGGGCTCACTCACCCCTGGTCATTCTGCTGAATAAAGTGAATAATTATGCATTACCATCTAAAGAGGAGAGTCCCATGTAAGATTGTTAATTCCAGACTGTAAAAGGACCTGACTCCATCGCCGGAAACAGAAAAAATAGATTGTGAACCCAGCTCTTTGGATCTCCCTTTTTAGGGCAATAAGCATGACCACATCATTGCTTGTTTTCAAGACATTTTTATTCCAGGATGTGTTTGGTTAATTTCAATGTGATGTGCTTTTAAACATTTTGTTACGTCCGTAAATTTAAAGCACATGGGTTCCCACCTCCAAGAGTCATGGGAACTGTAGATTCACAGGGTTCTTTGGGAGAAGCCACGTGCTTTAAATGTTTTTTTAAAAGTATCTTGATTGCTGCTGCTTATATATTAGTGGGGTGAGTGTATGGATAGGATGTTTGCTTGTAGCAGTAGTTGTTGTG